GGGAAATAGCACATGGAGGTACAGCATCTCCCTCTGCTCCCACAGGTGCCTGCAAGCTGTTCCCCCAAAACTGCATCGGGGGGCTGCAATGGGACTTATTGATGTGGAGTTATGGAGATAAGGCCAGAGGATGGTAATTGCTGCCTATCTCATGGTTTTATTAAGAGGTCATTTCTACTTGGCATCTCTTTGCCTTTCTTGGTTCTTTTTCCAGTGCTATCAAGGCTATTTAATCTTAAAAGACTTTTTCATATGTATATGCTTATAAACATCCATAAATACTGATAAATGGAGGCCAAATAATGAAAAAAACTTAGTGCTTTAGGTAACCGATAATATGCATATTAAAAAAAACCCCAACCCTTAGGTAAACTATTTTACTGACAAAGTTGGAGGAATCTGCAGTCTTATAACACCTTTGCACCTCTTGTGTGTTTAGCAATGGGATCTCAGGAATGGAGCCAGGAACAGCAGCATGGACCAGCGCCGTGCACCTCGAGCGTGCGATGCTGGGAGCGAGGTACAGCCCTTGGGCATCAAGTAGCTCTTGTGAGAGACACATCGCCCTTCAGGTAGCAACCTGCCATGGGGAATCAGTGGGTTTCTGTAGACCAAACTATGTGTATCCCCTATTCAAAGTCAATGCCTCGAGTAACTTTGTTGGAGGACAACAACGGTAGTATTTTATTGTGTATAGAATCACTCACTAGAAGGGGGTTGTTTTTAGCAAAAGTGCATAAACAATATAGAAATATAAATTCTCCAGCTTAAAGCTAAATATGTATATCAAAACAAATAAAAAGTTCCATTTTATTTTGTCCACCAGGTTCTTATTTTGCATGCTGTGGACAGCAATGACCATAAGATTGCAATTTCAGTTTAGCTAAGGCAAAAATACCCCCCCACCCACAACCCCAAAACACCTTGATAAGAAGGAACTGAATGTGTTAAAGACTGCAGAGGAAACCACATTTTTATTTGTATATATCCTTTCCGTACTGAAAGTCCAAATGCAGTGTGTGAAATAAGTGTCTTTGTTCTTGCACACCATACTCTGACAAGGAGACTGATGAGGCTCGGAAATGCAGTCTATGAAGTGAAAAATCATTCAAAGTAGACAGAGAGGCAGTTGTTATTTCAGATTAAAGCTAGCTGGAACAATGCTGATAGGAACTGTTTTCCACTGGAAATGTAGCTCCTATTAATTTCATCAAAACTTCTCTTAAGGACAAAACTGCCTTAAAAAATTGCAACAATCTCACAGTACACCTTCATGACATTTCACAGATTACATTTGTGAGCTTTTACTACTTTGAAATAGTTTTACATGTTGAAATGGGCATAATTTGTATCATAAAGTATTTTGGAAACAGCAAATTGAAAGAAAAGTTTCCTATCTTATAAGAGATAAAAAAATCTGTTAAATTTTCTTTCCCCAGAGTACTCTTTATAGGGAATTTTAGCTTCATCCTAACTCTAGAGCAAGGATGGTTTTATAAAATTTGAAAATCTTCTGGTAAGTGCCACTTTTGCGAGATTTAATTGTTTTATTTCAATCCTTTCTGCTTGTTTCCCTGGTGCTCTATAAAGACTCTTTGCAATCTGAATGACACGATCTCATAATTGACTTCGAAGTACAGAGAAAAAGCTGCCGCCAGAGGAATTTGACTTTACCCTGTTGTCAAATGGCTGTAGATGGACCTCTGCACCAACCAAACCAATTGTGACCTCTCATGGCCACGGTCTCCTGTACCACTTCAGAGACTCAGCCTAAGCAAGGGTATTGGGTTTGCAGGTGGAGTTATGAGGAGATTTCACATTAACATGGGGGTTTGTATGTCTTTTTGCGGGGCAGGGGGGGAGGTTTAGGAGTTTTGTTTTGATTTAGATCCTCAAGGTACTCTGTTCCCATGAGAAACACCAAGCTGCAAACCCTCTCCCACATTTCATAAGCTGTCCTTCTGTTATGGAAGGGACCAGATCTACTCAGGGCTTGGTTTGCCTGGGACATCTGGAAACTGCTTTTAGGTCCAGATCCGTGGCTCCAGCTGCCCGCTGCAGTCCCACAGCGTGCGGTGACCCAGTTACACTGCAGTTTCCTTCCCTGCGGACTGACTCGCTGTGGACACGTAGGCACAGGCAGCAGGTTTCATTAGTAGAGGTCAAATTTCTCCAGTAACACAACCTGAGATTCAGTAGGACTCCCCAAAACAGTGCTAAAAGTCTTTTTTCCCATTTCCCTCTGCAAACCTCACTTGCTCTTTATTGTCCCCAAGCAGTGCTGCTTCTCCTGGGACCCATTTTTGGCTCTCTTGCTTGCTCTGCATGCTGCCTGGGTGCTGACAACAGCAGCGACGTGGGCTCTGGTCTCACGCCATCGGCAGTGATGCTCTGTGCTTGGACCCATCCCAGCCCTTGGATGCCCCTTATCTCGGCACGTCTGCGTGGCAGGAGGATTAGAGATAAGGGAAATGTGTTGGTGAGGCAAAGCTGGGAACGACACCCACCTTCTTGTGCCAAGTATTCGTTCTCAATGATCCTGGCCAGGCCAAAATCAGCAATTTTGCAGCAGAGCGTCTCTGAGACGAGGATGTTGGCGGCTCTCAAGTCGCGGTGGATGGAGTTCATTCGCTCGATGTACGCCATTCCCTCTGCCACCTAGGAGAGGAGGAAGAGTCCATCTTCATCAGTCACCTCCCCATGATAACAAGCTAGCCTGCTTGCATCTTACCCACCTTTACAAAAGCACAGCATGCGTATAGGGTTGCTCACATGCCTCCATGTGCATGGACATGCATACGTGCTCCATGGATGGGTGGACGGGTAGATCAACAGACAGATAAAGAGGTAGACAGATACATACATACATAAAGAGATATTGCCCATGTACGAGTCCATATGTGTAGCTCTACCAGCATGCACTCAGCCTCCAAAAGCTTTAAGCAGCCAAGTCAAGCAGAACAGAAGCATCACTCTCTGTTTTGCACCGAAGTTACAGCTGTGAGTTGTGTCTGTAGCGTGATGCAGAAAGTTGACGCAAACCTGAAGCCACATCACTGGATTCCCAGTTTCTGCCACAAGACTCTCCCCTCTAGTCGGGATTTTAATCACAAACACTCCAGATTAAATATATGAATTAGAAAAAGAAAAAAAACGCTCAAAGAGCTCATCTGTCCCTCAGTCACAGTAGCAGAGTTCAGAGCTAGGACAACTAGATGTTCTTCAGCAACCTCCTCTGTTCTCCCTCACTGGTCTGCTTTGGGATGGGGAGGAGACCTCTGAACATCCCTCCACAATAAAACTGAGATTGGTGTTTTCTTTCCCTGTGCTGGATCCAGACTAGGACCCAGGACAGAATACAGTTCCCCCTATTACCTACAGGATGCATTAGAGCAGAAGACCCAGATATCCATAAAAATATGACTGGGATATAGAGCATGTCCCTGGACAAATCCCTTGTCCTGGGCACGTGCTGCCTTCTTCAACCATCTCCAAACTTTACTTTGGGAGGTTCTTGCTCCCAAGACCATTTTTCACTGTTTAGCTCCTTGGAGCAGGGAGCAGCCCTGGGGAAGTGCCTGGTGTGTGACGAACCCCTATAAATGATGGCAGCAATCTTTTATTGCTGGGTGCTGGGAGATATAGAAAAAAGAGATTGCCAAGTTGCTCTATCGGTCAAGTCTCAGATTTGGGTTAGGTATTTATCAGGAGGATGAGTGGATGCACGCAACCCCTGCTAATAATGGTTAGTACCTATTAAAGCTTTTATGCGCCTGTGGGTGAGGGCAGAGCAATTTTCCACTCCATATAGATTCACATCAGCATCTCGACTTACATGTGGTTTTAAACAGGATACTAACACATACTTTCCAATGCTGTATTTCTAACCTGTGTCAACACCCCTTCAGCGCAAGTGCTGTTTGCTGCAGTGGAAAGTGGAAGAACTGATGTAATTTCCTGTCCTGATGTTAATGAGATAGTACCCAGCGATGGGCCCGTTCCAGCCCAGCGTGCTTTTGAGCATGTACCCTTGAGACTGGCCACAGGATCAAGTGCATCGGCCAGAGATTTCTAATTTTAACTCCGACGGATGCTATTGGATCCAAAATTGCACACGAGAGGGTTGGGGGTCTGTCAGGCCATGATGTCATCCCAACACCGCAGATGAACAGATTGCAAAATAGCTCAAGAGACTACCCTTTTCCTCCTCCTCCTCCTGGAGCTACCCAGTGAGTCTTTGAGTCCCTGCCCTGGGGACGTGGTGCTGGGGTGGGAGGGGGAGCGATGAAAGCTGTCCTTCTGATTGACACCCATGCCTCGAAGAATGGGCAAAATCCTTCTTACCCCACGTGCTGCGGGTGGCTTGTGTGGGTTATTACATTGCTGGGGTGAGTTTGGTCTGTGTTTTCTCTCCCGGTCCTGGAAGTGATGGACAGTGCAGGATGCTGCAAAGTGCGTGGAGGGATGCGAGAAAGGCATGCGGGTAGGTGAGTGCTTCCAGGTGCTCATGGAGAGGGGACATCTATGTGCACTTTTTCAACCCCAGTGATGGTGCCCACTGTGGGGACTATTTGACCACTGTGGTGGATGGGTTTCTGGCCAGCTCTGGCCACGCTATGCAATCACTTTCAAGACTTCAACCCTGAACTCAGAGAGGAGGTTTGGGTGAACGAGGTTGCCCTGGGACAGGTTTCTCCCAGGGGTTCCTGCAGCCAATGTGTTGTCAGACCTGTACCACCCTCCTGTTTGGGACAGACAAGATCACTGACCTCTCCCCAGATGCTTCCACACACCTACCTGGAAATGCTTTGTTATTCCATGTGCTCAATGCAAGTTATAATGTTGTGATAAAAAAAACGCACGAGTACTCGTAGCTTCTGCTGTCCCTGCCTCAAAGCTGGGTATACTGTTGGCCAACAGCTTTGCTCTGGGTCACCCCTGTGACTATACCTGAGTGCAGATTGCTCTGGCTATGGCACTTACCTCTTGCATAGAAATGCATCAAGCCAATTTCTGGGGTAATGCTCCTGCTG